CGCCCCGCTCATGGCAGAGGGCGGCTGCGAGGCGGGAAGCTGCGGCGCTCGGAGCTGCGAGAACGCGCATAAAAATAACCCGAGAGGGGCTATATTTAAAAACATGTGATTCTCTCCCTTCCTGCAGGCAAGGGCAGACTGGAGACGCCGCAGCGAGGCTGCCGCCCTTGGCCCGGGCTCCCCACGGAGCCGAGAAGGGCTCCAGAGCGGAGCCAGGGTCGGTGCCGGCCGGGCCCCGCGGCTGCACCGGGCTCAGTGCAGCGCCCTTGGGGGCTCCCCGAGGCTGGCAGAGCCCCGAGAGCTGCGCGGCAGCCCCCAGAGTGTAAAAACCAAGGAAGCTGCTTGGAAACGAAGGCAGATTTTCAACATCAAAACTCAGCTGAAAATTTAAATTGCAATTCTTGCAAGCCGGCTCCTAATTAGCAATGAAAGGGCTTCCAGCAAGGAACTTAAAATAGTCAATGTTCTCTGCCCAACTGATTATTTTTTGACTAATTTTCATTCCTCAAACCCCAGAGTACCTGAGCTATGTGCATAAGAGATGTGCATAGTAATGAAGCTGGCAAAATAAAAAAAAAAGAAACGAGAGGGAGGCAGAGAAAAGGCTGCAATTTGCAAGTCTAATTTCACCAGCAGGCTGATTTTGATGGGGAGAGGCGGGATAGCCAGCGAGGATGGATGGAGGCGCCCCAGCAGCCCAGGTCCTGCCCATCCATAGCCCCCGGGTGCTGGGAAGGGCAGCGGAGGCAGCCCCGGAGCTGTGGATGCACGAGCACCATCGCACGCGGCAGGATCCTTGCACATTACATATGCATTTATGTATTTATATATATAGCTCTGGCTGCTCTGCTGCAGCCCTGAAGCTTGCAGCGCACCCAGCAGCGCCTGCCCTGCTCTTGGGCCTGCTGATCCCAGCCCAAATCCCACCTTTCTGTCCCCGTGGCCTCATCCATAGCGAGATTTCACCGGGGTCCCCACACTGGCTCTGCCGCGGCGCCGTCACTACGTCTTCATCACCCAGAGAACCAATTCCACGCAGAGCCGGGACCTGCCTGGAAATACTAGAGAGGTGTTTTCTTATTGGAGAAAGGTTTGGAGAAAGGACCCACAATGCCATTAGCACCCCTGGTTTTGCGCACGCCAGCCCGTTCCCCTGCGGACCCCTCCGGCAGGCAGGCAAGGTCGGAGCTGCTCCCCTGGCAAGTTCTGCAGCACATCTGGAATGAGGTGGAAGGGGAGGGCTCGGTTGTGCCCTCCTCGCCGCAGCAAGGCTGCTTTGGAGCCCACCTTGTGCACTTGAGAACAGAGCTGGTCCCCAAAAACGGCCCTTCCCAAAGCAGCTGCTCCATCTCAGCAGCGCCTTCCTCCTCATTCTCCTCTTCCTCCAATGCGGTTGCCAGCAAGGGAATATGGCAACTGCAGGGGGAAAAAAAAAAAAAAAAACAATCCAC